GGGTGTCTAGAGGCCTCTCCTGATGTTTCTTAGAACAGGAGGCTCATTAGCCACACTAAGTGAACATCTATTGTTCTCCCACCCACCCCCCATGTCAGGTTAAGTCAGGGTCTGGGGGAGGCGCGGATGCACGTGTCCTTTCAACTAATCTCATCAACGAGGACCCTGATGGTGTGTTTCTGGAGGATGCACCACTCACCAGGTGTGTTTTGTGCTCGTTCTCAACACCCCTGCCCTGGAGATGGGTCCTGCGGCCAGTGCAGAGATGAAGACACTGAGGCCACATATTCAGGGCGATCCAGGGGTCATGCTGAACGGAACTGCCAGCCCAGCTGACTCTGAGGAGTGAGGAGGCCACTGGGCTGGAGGGAGCTGTAGCCTCCGAGTCCTTTTCTCCCTTTTTGTAAAATGGAAAGTTTTAAACTGAGGCAACACTAATCTCCTTGCGTGTCTGAGGAGCTATAATTACAGCAGAAGATCATTGCTCTGCTTTCCTAGAATATGCCCGATAATGCCATGTCTGTGTACACTGTAGTGGCATTGATTCCTTTGTGCTCACTGGTATCAGCAGATACAACATCTGGGCATTTCCAGCATGTTTTCCCGCTCATGGTCCCATTTCCATCCCCTGCTCTTCTAGGTAGGAAAGGAAGCCGGGCTGATCGTCAGGGCAGGTTGGAGCCTTGCACCTTGCTACCCACCTGGCAGGGCCGACAACCCCTCAATCCTTGTGTCTTTTACCCTGATGAGGAGCCCATGAGGTCGCAGTGACTGTGCCCAACGTTCAGATGGCTCCAGGGAAGTCAGGACCCAAGGAGGCACCCCATCATGTTGGCCAAGCATCTGAACCCACATCTGATGACCCCTAGGCCCAAGCCCCTAGCTCATGAGGCACAAGACTTCGAGGAAACTGAGGCACAGAGAGAGCCAGGATGCCCCTCATGGCATTTATGGAGCTGGACGCTGAGCTAAGACCTAAGCCTCTGGCGACCTGGCTACAAAAACAATTAGACCCCAGGCCTTCCTCTTTGGGGCCGGGCGGGGTGGGGACCTGGTCGAGGCCTCGCTCATCCTCGCTCATCCTCACCAGGACTGGAAATCTGCTCACCTCCACCTGTGCTTCTCCTGGGGGTGGGTGGAAGCGATCTGCATAGCGCCCGCTCCCTTTAAATGCAGGCCCTGGCCTCCTGGGAGATGAAGCTCATTGGTTCTGTCACTCATGAGTAATGCGCCATAGCTCCCCGGTGGGGAAAATGCCAGATTATACAATAGCGTGCTTTGGTGTGCAACTGTCTTTAGAATAACAAATCTCCTCTTCTGCTTGTGAGCATTACGCTTTAATAAAAACCAAAATAGTGGCCACAAATCCCAGCTCTAGCTAAAGGGCAGGCTTTGTAAATTCACGTTGGCTACACCTCTCGCCAAGCTCCCCCAGACTCACACCTGCCATAACTCACAGGGAATGGCCCCGTCCGTGGCTTCATTTACCTTTGTCTTCTGGTAGGTGGGGGACACGGGGACTGGGGGTTCTCACAGACACCCCTATTGATGAGTGACATTTGCAGTTGGATGGGGATGGAGCTGGTTTGGTTTTTTTTTTGGGGGGGGGGTTTCCCCTCTGCACTGCAGGCTATTCAGCAGCATCCCTCCCCGATACCCCAGCCACCAGATGACAGGTGGGTCCCGACTTGGTTGTGACAACCAGAATTATCCCCAGACATTGCCCACTGTTTCCTGGGGGACAAAATAGCCCCCAGTTGGGAACCACTGCACTGGTGAAAAGCAAAGCCAGCCGCGTCATGGTTGGGAGTGAGGAAAGCAAAGCCATACAGTGGAATCTGTCTTTCCTGTAGGAACGCGGAGTAGCCTGGCCCATGGAAGCATTCGGGGTGCAACTTGAAGCAGGACTTCCAGCAACAGACACTTGGCTCAGGGCCGCCCATTCCTCCCCTGCGGCCCTTGTGGAGAGTGAGTTGGGGTGTTCCACGAGTGCTGGGGACTCTGGTCCTGAAAGGCAGGGCCAGGGCACCGGGCTGGGCAAAAGCTCCCAGGAAGAGGCAGGACCCCACCCCCTGCCAGTCTCACTGCCCTCACACCCCCTTCACAGGATCCTAACCCAGAGGTGACATGGCAGGAGTGGCAGCCGCTGGCACCAAGCAGGACTCGGTGGAAACAGCAGGTCTGGGACATGGAGGACAAGACGCCTTCAGGGGGGCGGGGGGTAGGGCAGAAAGACACTTAGGCATTTTTCTGTTCAAACGGACACTAAATCAGTGCTCACCTCCAAATTCCCTGTCTATTTTGGAGACTCAATATGTCCCCCAAAAGGTGTTGTTTCTCCCGGAGAATTTTTATAGTTTGGGATCATCGCCAACATTTAAAAATTAGGATATTTAAAAATGCAGGTGTCAGGTTTCTCCAGAAAAATCTGCAGTCTTGACACCCGAGGCCAGCAAGCCAGCACAGCCACCACTCAGGAGCTGAGTGATGGGTGGCACCCCCTGTTGGCAGGAAAGTATTTTGCTGCAAATATAAACCCTTCTCACCCACTTAATTTTACACTGTCTGCCTGGGTCATACCAGCAGTAGATTACGTGCTCCTCCATGTTTGCATTCATATATTAAAGTACATGTAACACATGAAACTAGGAAGCATAAAAATACAAGCATCCACGAACCAGCCACCTAACTTTAAAACTACAACATTTCCTTTAAAGGATTCATTTTCTTTCTCTCTCTCTCCCCATCAGATATTCATTATTCACATTTTATTCTTATCATTCTTCTGCTTTTTTTAAAAATTTGGTTTCATCACTCATATATGCATCTCTCTATAGGGTTACTTGGTTTTGCTGGATACAAGTTTTATACAAATGATGCCCTATTGTGTGTAATCTTAGGTGACTCACTTTATCACTCACTCAGTCGACCATATGCTTCTAAGATGTATCTGCATTGTTGCAGCTCTTTCATTTTTTACTGCTGTGTAATACTCCGATACTGCCACTTATGTATTCTTTATTTCACATTGTTCCCACTCACTGTATTTCCCTTGGCTCATGGCTTCTCAGGGATCAGTTTCATAATGACACTCTCAGACAGCCTGGTCTGCCGTCTGTCTTCCAGTTATTTCTTGCATAATTATTCAGGCTTCTTTTTCTTTCAAAACACTTGCCATAATTTGTAATCACTTTTTAAATTTGCTCTCATGTTCTTGCTTATTGCTATTTTTAAGAGATTATAAGCTCCCTGAGGGGAGGATCAGGCTGCCTGTCTGTTACTTTTGTTCAGAGTCATTCTTCACACATAATAATGAAAACAGATTGTTGTTTTCTTCAAAATTTTGATAGATTCTCATTGGCAAGGAATTGAGATCCTCCACCCTGAAAAGTGCTAGGTGGCTTCCTATGCTGGAAGGAGAAATCTCCAACAATCCTTATTCCTGGCGCTCAGGACCAGGCTGTGGGGTGAATGTTTGCTAAGGTTTGTGGGTGGAAGAGTGTGCACCGGTTCTAGGTCATGACCTTGAAAAGATGGCTCTGCCCAATGCTCTCAACTCACATAGTTGAAATGCAGGCAAGGTAGTGAGTCATTTTGAGCCCAAGAGACAAGGAAGTGGCCTTAGCCATGGAGGAACTAGCAAAGGGTTTGTCTGAGTGACAGATGATATGAAGCTGCCACACCAGCCCCAGGCTGAGAGAAAATGAACTGCTCTCATGTTTAAGAAAAGTCATATTGGGTTCCTGAAGCAGCAGTCAGCCCTCTATCTAGTGATTCAGTCCGTGGGCAGGACATGCTGAGAGTGATTCCTCCCCACCAAGGGGCCATAGTCCAACACTAAGCAACCTCCTGCCTCTCCCTCCATCTGAGGTGCCACGGAGGACCCAGGGTCCCTGCCTGAGACACAAAATAGACAGCCAAGAGAATATAGCCTTCCCAAATCTTCCTGGTCTGAAACTATTTGAGGCAGGCATAACCAGGTGCCTCTTGGACCAAAGTGAAATCTTAGTGACCCACCGGTAGCTATGATAATGCAAGTTCCCAGAGAGCCCGCCAATACAAATCATTTGTGAAATGTACACCAAAGACACCAAAGGAAGTAACTTCTTGTATGGGATCATTGTTTAAATACTGGAAAAATGTTAAGGAATAGCTGCCAAAAACAATAGTTCAAGAGGCGTGGTGGATTGGTGCTCCATCTAATGACAGCTAACTAGCAGGACCCTTGTCTATTCAAACCCCTCCATCACTGATAGAAGGAAGCCAAACCATTTTAGGAATAAGACAAGACTTATTTTTCAGGCTTCTGTCATCCCAGAGTTTGTCTACAGCTCATCTTAAAATTGCATCAACTCTTGGAGAAGCAAGATCTAATTGTAACAAGAAATGGACCAGATTTGGGGGACTTCCTATCTGCCAGGGAATCAGCCAAGATTCTTCATGTATTAGCCCCTTGTAATTTCATAACAATGCTCTAGTGTTCGTACTGTCCCCATTTCCATCTGGGGAGAAGCAAGACTTGGAAAACCTCATCCCCAGCTTTAGCCATATCGTATTATAAGGTGATGGGACACTCTTCTTTCAATCAACTTTCCTTTTCTTTTTACATAGCTAAATTTATTTAAATGGAAATGTCCTATGAATGCCACAAATGCAAAACAGCAAGTATCATTCACTTTAAATAACCACCTTGAATCTAACACAATATAAACATTAAAATACTGTCAATTTCAGTCTATACTTATCTGCTGCAAGGTCTGAGCCCTTGCTCTAAAGGGGAGCAGGAAAAAATGGGGAGAAGAGACAGACTGATGTTAAAGATGAGGTTAACACCCAGTACGTCTCCCCACCCCAAGCAGCAGGACCTACAGAGAATCCAGGGGGCAAATCCTTCCCACTAGGAGTGTCAGTGTTATCTAATGATGGGTGTATGCTCCCCTCGCCAGCCTGAGGATCATAATCTCTATTTTTACAAATATCATGTAATTCTCTGCACTCACCGGAGGGATGTATGCTGGAAACACAGACTTAGCCTCTTCGATGTTTTTCAGATTCTACCCCAATTGCCTAGAAACGATGAAAAGTGTGCTCCTCTTGAAGACTGCTGGTTTTTGCTTCTGGATTAAAAATCTGAAAATAAAAAATCAAAATCAAAAGTAAGCTGCTTTTCTTCACCACTGAGGCATGCATGAACTTGCTGATGTATTCATGCAGGAGGACTCACAAGAGCCCATGTGCTGAGACTTCAGAAAGAAGCTCAGACTCTGCCCTGCCCTCAGTGCGCTTACGAGTCCTGAATGCCCTGAATGATAATGAATGGCATGACAGCACATAAAAGAGACCTACTGCAGATCCGACAGCAGCGGGACAGTCGTATCTGAGGTCCTCCTGCCCCCTAAGTAGACTCAGTCCCTACGTGCCAACAAGAAATGAGCCTGGAGACAGGTGTGCAGGAGGAATGGGCGGTTTTCTGGGAGCAACAACAGGAAAAGAGTCTCTGGTTTAGCGGCTGTGATAAATGTGAAAGGAAAATCCCACTGGAAGATGTGCTACATGTATACAATGGAACATTACTCAGCAATCAAAAAAGATAAACTCATGCAATTTGCAGCAACAAGGATGGAGCTGGAAGGGATCATGCTCAGCGAAATAAGCCAGAAAGAAAAAGAAAAATACCGGATGGGATGGTCATAGCAGGAATTTAGAAAACCTAAATAAGGGACCAGGAAAAAGAATAATTGCAATAAAGTAAAAATCAAAATCATCAAGCAACTGTAGACCAGAGACACACTACGGTGGGGGGCGGGGGGAGGAGAAGAGGGATTAGGGTTAGAAAAAGGGGGTGGGAATTGTATGGGGAATATAACCAAAATGCAAATGCATACATTATGCAAAAATGAAAAATGATGTAAGAATTATATAAAATACAATAATTTATTTAAAAAAATCCCACTAGAATCCTCACCTGGGGGCTCCAAACTGCCTTGTTCTTGGAAGGAAATGGTGGTCACGCTGAGCATGCTGGGAGCCCGGCGGGCAGGAAGGTGCTGGCTCAGGTGGGTCGCCTCCACCGCATGGATCAGCGTAGGGTCCACCTGCCACTCACTGCACCCAGCTCCCCACATAGAGAGATGCTGGCCCGGGGGGACATCTGACACTGTCTAGAGACATCTTCACGTGTCATGACTGGGTGAGGCAGGCTACGGGCATTTCGGAGGTCTGGGATGCCGCTAAATAGCCCACAACGCACAGGAAGAGGCCCCAAAGAAAGCTATTGGGGTCAAAATGTCAACAGTGTTCTTGGTCTGGAAGGAGGTGAGATGCACCAAGCCAGGGCCTGGTGGCGAAGCACATCCTGCAGGTCAGGCCCGGTGCCCTCATGGAACCAGCGGATGTGAATGAGGATGACAAGGACATTTCAAAGGGAAAGAAGAACCAGATGGGGGGTGTCCCAGTGAGGAGGACAGTCTGGGCGGCAGAGGAGGATCTCTGCTAACTTGAGGCCAACTCCACACATCTCCAGCAAAAGTCAGGATCCCCAGCGTGTCGATGACACAGCAAAGTCACTCTCTGCAGGGGTGTCCTACAGAGACCTAAACTAGACCTAAGTATAGTCAGAGAAGTTGATGAGTAACCCTAAGGTATGGTTCAGGAAAACCCCACGCTTTTCAAGGACTCCCAAGGGGAGGAAGCTTGTGCGCCAGATTGTAGGACCAATCTGAATACAAACCCACACAACACAACAAGGCAACGCAAAGGAGTCTTGGGCGCCACCGTAGTGGGGCAGCCCAGATGGGTCACCTGCACTCGGGGGAGCGGGAGGGCTCACAAGGCAGCAGGCTCCGTGGCAAAGAACTTGGCCTGCAAAGGGAGCATGACCCCAACACCCAGCTGGGGGAGTCCCTTCCTCCCGCTGAGCCTCAGGTATCTACATCTGTAAAATGGAGGTGCTAAGAGCATCCCCCAAAGTACTGCTGAGGCCTGGACGAGATAAGACATACAAAGCACACAGGAGAGCCCTGCTGGTGGTAGCTGCGGCCCTGGCTTGGTGTGCAAAGTCCCAGGTTGGGTTTGAAATGCATACTGAGCCCGGTGAGGACGCCACAGTGGTATAAAGGCTATCAGCTTGCAGCATTACTGCCAGTTTGACAGGTAAGAGGGCTCCCCATGGGGGCCTGATGCTCTTCATTTGAGCCCTCTGATTGGGAGATGCGGTTCACACCCAGGATAAATCACAGCTGTGCGAAATTCCTATTTTCTATATAATTCACAGCCAGAATTTCTAGTCAAACTTTGGAGCTTATCCTGCCTTCCTTTAGGATAGACATCGTCTTGAAATGGAAGAAATTGGAGACAGCTCCCCTTGCCTTCTGGGTAATCATGTCTTTAAAGTAAACTCCTGAGGCTTATTATGAAACAAATTGCATCTTACCCGTGTCCTTGGAGAGAAGTTTTAGATGGATGGGTGTTGGAGTGAAAGCTTCCAAAAGCCGATCTTGTTTCAAAGGAAAAGAATGTGCTTTCAGTGTTTGATGGTGTAGAGTGGATTATTTTCATACCCATTCCTGACTCACTGGATTCATAATAGCCGTCGGCTTCCACAACGGGGAAGGAATTTTCCACTCAACTGTGATCCGGTCTCATCTTTGCGATGTGCAAGGAGAAGGGGTGTTTGCCTGGAACTGGCAACTTTTGCCCCATCTTCCTCCCGGAGCTCGAGAGGCAACAACATCATGTAGCCATCACTCAATGCACCCCTTCCCCGTGTACGAGTGTCCCCCGGGGCTGGAATTGAGAGCTGCGGAGGGGTGGAGGTCAGAGTCACAGCTCAGCTGCCCTCCGGGGCAGAGGGCTGGGACCAGCATCGAAAGTGATGCCTGAATCAATCCAGGTCCCACCCGGAAGCAGAGACGCATCCAGATTGTGTGGGGTCAGGAGCACAAAGCACTGATCGTGCAGCTCGGGGCGCTGTTTAAAGAGAGGCAGGTGCCGACTTGTGCCTCGGGACCAGTGACGGCAGCCACTCACCCGGGGCCAGAGGATGAGATGAGAAGTTGCCACCAGCACCCAGAGATGCGACTGGACATGGAGGGACACGGAAAGGACCTGTGTCCTCAGGAGGGTGACAACCAGCCCACAGCAGGTGGCTGGGAAGGCGGCTCAGGAATGAAAGCCTCAAACTCTTTCTCCCACCCTCTCTGCTCCTCGGGCACCCTGAAGGGCCCAGTGTAGCAGGAAGCGAGGGCAGAAACAGCTGCTGCAGGAGCCAGGACCCGAGGAGGGCGATTCCAGAGAAACAAGTGAAAGACCTGCAGCCTAAAGGACTGCTGTCCGGGCTGGGGTGTGTTGATTTGTACAAGGAGAATGCACAGAAATAAAGACCAAGAGGGGAAAGGAAGAATCGAGAAAAGGCAGTAATAGGCGGGGAAAGGTGAGGGGACATGCAATCACACTTGGATCTGCACATCAGCGCAGTGAGCCCAGTTACTAAGGGGACTCCCCAGAGCATTCCCACCCCCATGGGCTGAGGGAGCCCCATCAGCCTCTCCAGGAAGGGACAGCTGAGCTGAAACCCGAGGCCCTGCAGGCTGTTAGCCAGGTGAGGGTGGATAAGGGCACTCACAAGGGCCTGATGTGAACGGAGGCCCAAAGAGGCCACTGTTAAGTGTGGGGAAGGGCAAGAAGTCATCCTGGTGAGATATGCAGAGAGGACCCCCCCCAAACCTTGTCCATGACAACAAAGAACTCAGACGAGGTCCTTCAGAAACGGGGGCAGCACCGGAGAGACAAGCAGAAACCAGTCCTTTTGGGGCTTCCTCCTCCTTTCCTCCCAGGAAGTACATTTGATGCTGTCAACTTCTCCACAAACACATACGTGTTTGTCCCTGTACTTGACACAAAGAAAGTGTGTGGGGGAGATTGGTTTGTCCTGTTAATCCCTGGCAGAGATCCCAGGGACCAAACACCAAGACCAAAACAAAACAAAAGCCCACAAGTGGCTCCTTGGGTGAGGGGAATGTTTCCATGAGAAAGGAAATTGCTGATGTGCCTCGCGCCGACCACTGCACGCCTGAATAGAGACACAGCATTTCGAGAGGCAAGCGGACACACCTCTGGCATTTAAGAAATACAAGCCTTAAGTCTCGGCATCGTGAACCGAGCCCAGATTAATGACCTTTCAGACTATGGGCTCAAGGAATTAGAAATAGGTCAGGCTTGCAAAGAATGTTAAGAAATCACCCAAGCACAGCAAAACAGACTTCTCTTTGGTTCCACCCACCCATAAGAAATTGACCCTCCCGACACTCTGGAAGCCTCGGCTTCAGCTGTTCTCCCCATTTAGGAAGGGATTTCCTGCAGAGACGCCAGCCACGTTCAGTGCGAAACAAAGGACAAAATGAATAGAAGGGTATTCATCCCACACTGGCATCCTGTTGGCCAGCCACCAACACGGAGGACGGCGGGTTTTGACAACCCATGTCAGGATCCTATGCATCTTCCCCTTTTTCATCAGATGTATTTACGCAATAAGTGACTCATGCAATGGAGCTATCTGGCTGATAAAATTCCCAGGTCATGGTTTGTTTTGACCTTCATCTCAGTAAAATTTATTCTGAAATTGTGAGTTTGGAATGGAAGCTGTCTTCTCATTCCCTGGCATTCATAACCTGCTGGGGAGGACCCAGAATCCTCACACGTGACGGTGACCCAGGCCAGTAGTGTAGATGTCTTTTAAAAACTGGGAGGCTGCTACAGAGTTTCCCTTTCTTTTGTTCGATTTCTGATTCTGGTTAAGCTAGAAACATCAGCACCTACCTGAGGCCCTGTCCTAATGAAGCAGCACACAGTCTCATGTGAATCCCACACACCCCCCTCCTCATTACTCTTAAAGTTTGACAACAGGCAGGTTCACATTTGCACAGGGCTAATTTGGGGGAAACTATGGATTTCCCAAAAGGGTTCCACCCAGAACAGATACCCCTTCTTGGGAAGGTTTGTAAAACGCCCTGGGAAGACTTGCTTGAGTTGAGTGGAGAAAGTAGACTTTGATCCTACAAATTGGTGGAGGACTCAGAGGTTTTTAAATAATAATAATATAATACATAAGAATAATACCAATAAAATTCATT